CTTTACACACGGTGTAATTGGGTACCACGACTTTGAGATTCCATCAACGAACCACAAGGCTTATGCTGATGGTGGTGTATGGATTGACACCAATGTGCCTCCACCGCGTATGGTGAAGCGTTGTACATCGAGCCCAAGTAAGCGAATTTTAACCACAGTTAGAAATGACTGAAACACACTGACTCCTATAAATGCTTTACGCAAACAACAGCTTGTTAGTGACATGATGCAGAGGACACAACCTAACTCTCTAGCTCCCACAAGCTATTACAACAATCATGGACTTTTCCTCTCGAACCATTTTCTAGACTGTCATACTCAGTCTCAACCCCTTCCGCTGCGGCCAACTTCAAATCATTTTCCACCGCTAGCAATGCACGCATCGTTTTAACAATTTCTAGCCTGGGTCCAGGGACACGGCTCGGAACCCCAGTGTTGATAACACAGCCTAAACAACATTGCTCATATCTCACATTTATATTAGTATTTTTGATAAACACTCGTTCTCTTCACTCTAAGATCAGCACATTACGCTCATTTGTTTTAGTTATTAGGTGAACAGCTATTAGACATTCATTTATTGTGAACGAGCTTGATAGCTATTCTTTACTCTTCCTATTTTCCATTTCTGGACTGTTGTTTAAACGCTGTGCTGGTTAGCCCGATTGGTACATCCACGTCATTGTTAATGGACGCTCATCGTCATGTCCTTCTCAGCAGCGCCATTTGCAAGAACATATTCTATTGGTTTTTTCTTCTCATCACTGTTCTACTTGGTTATGTTAAAGGAATACTTAGTTGTCACACAATCATTGTACTAGTTTTCAACTTTGGGTCTGCATCCCTTATTCTCGTTTGTTTCGTGCCTTTTGTTTAAACGTTTCATTTCGTCATTCTGATTGGACAGTGCCCGTCACTGTAAATGGACGTTCGCTTTACACTTGGAGTCCCTTGATGTTATTTTAAATATGTATGCGATTCGCTCTTGAGTACACGGTTGCAGATTCGCCGTTGCATTTGACGGTTTTCCTTCAGTTGGTTGGCTCAAGTGTACTTTAATAGCATCCCTTCATTTTGCCCTCAAACTATATAAGCAACTGTGATTTCATGTATACAAGTCTCCTTCTGGCTCGTCCCTGGACTTCTTCTTGCGGTCGTGGGGTAAAGGCGTCAGCGGCGACACAACACTAGTGAATAATCCTGATATAATATTTATAACTGAATCTTGATGCCATGATGGCATGTCTGACAATCAGTTAACTATTTTCGCATATGACAAGTTTAGGAGAAATCGGCCTAGTCTTCGAGGTGGTGGCTGTTTAATTTAGCTGAAAAATTCGCTCGCAGCAGCAACGTTCGAGAACCCAGGGCTGAACGATGTCCAGGAATTACTATGACTTACGAGATCTGTTAAGCAGCAGCTGCGGCTTATGGGATGTATATACAGCGCGCCAAACTGCAGCCAACAAAACCTAGAACATTTGACGCTTGCGTTTGTATGCGACACTAGCCTGCCATTTATACATAAGATTATTGGAGGGGATTTCCATCTGCCTTCGATTTCATGGCCCTTGGGAACCACTACTTTGAAATGTCAAAATCGTATCCCCTGTATCCAAATGAATAGCTGGCGGCAACACATCTCCCATCCTACCAGAGGTGAAAGTACTCCGGATCCCAATTTTTTATTGGGCATACCTGCAATCAGTGTTAACGTTATTGATGGATTTCCCGGGAGCGATCATCGTGTGATCAAGTGCCGCGTAAGACGGCACCTGGCCGATGTACAGAACATAATGCATTATCCCCTGTTCAGTTCCGTCAACTGGAACTCTTTCAAGGACCTGGTTCGTTCGATGAATTGGGATAAATTCTTTCTCTCTTCATGTCCTCAACATGCGACGGACCTGTTTTATAGTATAATTGACTGCTGCATCGATTCAGCAGTATCACTAAAATGTGCTTACCAAAGTAAACATAAATACTGTTTTCAGAATGTTGTTAAACATAAATCCGATAGCAAGGATTTGAAAGCAGCACGAAAGCTTCATAAGATTCGGCAGAAATTCAGGTTAACTGCTGACTTTATGCTATTATTACAGCAGTCCAAGCTCGTCGAAGAACTGAGGCATCAAAATGACAAAAATCTCATTCTAGAAGAGTAAAAGCACTGAACGGCCTTAGCAAAGCAGCTGAGCTAGCCAAACTATTCCGTGCCCGGGGTTCGCGTTGCAGCAACGATTTCAGTTTTATCAACGCGCCTGATGGAGCATACTACGACGCACCAAGTTATATCTAAGAAAGTTTCAGTGGTTATTTTGCCGAATCAGCGGACAATGAATCACCAGACACACCAATCCTTATCGTGCCGCACAACAATGGAAGTCTATGCACAGTGGAATTCACTATAGCGAGAATTACTGGTCAAGTCGCTCGCTTATGCTCATCAACGTGCGCAGATGCTGATGAGACCCCCTTGGTTTAATAAAAAGCCGTGGTAGTGAATTCCTACTGCTTTTACTCAACATCTTTACGCTCTCTGTTAACAACGGAGTATACCATACTCAACGGAAATCTGTAGTGTTTATCCCGCGACACAAAAGTGGCACCGCCACACGAGGTTAAAAACTTACGTCCCATCAACCACACACCCATCGTATCTAGAATAATGGAAAGGATAGTGAAAGATGAATTAGTTATATTCTTAAACCATGCTAACATTATCAGTCATTCGTAACACGGCTTCATGCAAGGTCGATCCTACACAACAGGCTAGACTGACTTTTTAAACCACACAACGGCTGCCATTGACAACGGAAACAGTGTCATAATTCTGTTTCTGGATATGCAAAAAGTCTTTGATAGAGTGCCTCACAGAAGGTTACTAAACAAACTGAAGGCTAAAGGCATTGGAGAACCGATGTTCTCTTGGCGATCTTCATATCTAATTGGTAGACAGCAGGCGGTGCGCATCGGCGACCATTTGTCTAAACAGAAACTAATCACCAGTGGAGTGATTCAAGGCAGTGTTCTTGGTCTTCTTTTTCTAACATATATTTTCGATATATTCCAGAGAATAATAAATGGTGTTACATTTAGCTTTGCCGAGGACATTCCAGTTGTCTAGTCACAATCACGTGCAAATACCCAGGAAACCGTATGTCTCATTCAGGATGACCTATGTGCCCTTGACTCCTGGTGCCAACTGTGGCAGATGTCATTTGCCGTGGACGAGTGTAATCTTTTGTCGTACAAATGCCAAGTACCTCCAGACAGTTTATTACTACAAGACGCATATATCTCGCAATGCAGCGCCGTTCGCGACTTGGGCGTGCGATATTCAGCCACGTCTAACTTTTCTGCAAATTGTGACTTGCAATTTTCAAAAGCTATGAAGACCATCGGTTAAATCAGCCATTTTTTACCTCACGGAATCTCGCATATCGCCTTACAAAACATATGTATTGCCGTGTATGGAATACTGTTTAGTGGTCCAGTCTAATCTGCGGAATCCTGACCAGCATGCTCTTGAGAGGGCCCAGAGACGCTTCTTGGTAAAGCCATATGGATATTCCTCAAGGTTGTCATACAGAGAGCGACGTGTTAAACTTGGATTTGACCCAGTTTGGCTTCGGATAATGAGGCTGAATCTATGTTTACTTTACAGTACCATAAACCCTCAAATTTCCAGCCTTGATAACGGTATTCACATATCTTTAAACAGCAGATATCCAATCCGTAATAATGAGGCAGTCATGATTCCAAAATTTACTACGAGAATCAGAGAACGCTTCTATCTAACCCACTACTTAAAGATTTGGAACACACTTCCAAGTAATATCAGAAAATGCTATACACTACAATTTTAAACTTGCGATTAGTAAGCATTTGACCGTCCAAAACGTGCTCCATATGTTCGGGACATCACAATCCCCAGATAACGCTTTCGAAAACAGGATCGATGGAGCCTGAATACATTTTTGAAACACATGCATGGAACATTTCGGACAACAGCCCCTTTCATTTCATTGCACTTTTTCTTGGTCCAAACATCTGTCATGTGATTGTGAAGAATCCTGTTTCAATGACAGCAAAAAATAGCAGAACGATTCTGACTACTTTGTGTTACCTAATTTGAAAGTGCGCTCGTGTTTATTACTGTAAAGTATTAATGCAGTGTCTCGGAAAGGTTGTACCATTATTTGATCTGTTCCTTATAGGGAACAGCTTACCGCATCGTCGAGGAACATACAGGTTATTTATTTGTTTATTTAGCCTTCGATGGTGAGAGTGATTGCGTAGACCGTTTACATTATTTGTTGATCCTCGTTGTGGTGCCTCTAACGCCTATAGGTCACGCTTCGACCAAGATTGTCAAACTTGGATGGGGTATTCAACGTGAGGGCGCACGTAGGAATTGTGCATCATTGGGAACATTGATGGGCCAAATCTCCCAAAGGTCCTAAGCAGCAGACCTACATGTTGGTTGCCACTTTTCGTAGTTACCTCGGACTGTTCTGAACAGTTGAGATCACTCTCTACAAGCACTCCATGGTCACGTTCCTGGGAGCCGACCTGCAATCCGTGTGCCCAAATCCCAATGTGTAATCATGATTATGCCGTAAGTTAACTCGCGACATTTGTTTAGATTGAATGGTAGGGCATTCTGAAGTGACCAGTACGAAATCGTGTTAAGATCGCGTTGAAGCCCTTCTTGGTTGGTCGGTCTTCTGATGGCTCACGATGTCATCAGATAGTTGTGATGGTCCCCAAAGAAGTAATAGTGTACCCTTTACCCAATCAAAGAGTTACGTTCACGTCCATCCGGGATTGGGATCACGGAGCGGCGGGAGCATGAGACCACAGTACGGAGACATGATGAGATATGTCAAATCTATGTATTGGGCCTCGGGCTTCATCGCTTCCGTGGTAAAGTGGGAAAGTACGCTCATGTCATGATAATAAAATCACGTTTGTTGTGCTGGGGATACTCAACTTACCAATCCGAGAATGGGATGGAGCGAGTAGATTCCTTGTGGTCTACGCGCCTCTGTACAACACGCGTTCGAAGATAGTCGATGTGACGCAAAATCCCTTTGCCTCCATGGAGACAGGTCGGTTTTATACGTATCCTGAGTAGGCTTCGAGGATTCAGGCAGACTGATCATTCTACCACAGCATAGCAACAATGGTTCGGTAACCACCGTATGGAGATGAAAACAACAATCTTTTTTCCTTAGGTATCCGAGGCATATTTTAAGCGACAGGAGTTCTTGACGTTCAGGCTTGGGTCTTGTTGTCGTTGGCCTCTCACTGACTTTTGCGTCTTTCACACTTCCTTTGTACAGGAGAGAGACAAGAAGGAATAAATTCCTTTAAGGTGCCAAAATGGTGTGGATGACATAAATATGAGGTTGTGCATTAAGCAACCCCGGTACCAGAGTGCAATGAGCATCTAATGTATTTCGCGCTCAGAAAGGCGAATTTAGGGCAGTTGTTACAGGAGCGAAAAAGATGCAGACTTTCCGTTTGTCGTGATAATTCGTTGACGTATTTTAACGTATCATTTCATCAGCCCTATTGGCTGTTTGGGGTCGTTGTTTTTGAATGCGGATCACAGCTCCACCCTGACTTTAATCCTGCCCTTTCCGTCCTTTAGGTGCATCTGATTGGTTTCTAATTTGTTCGGTCCTTAGTAGTATTGTCTGTTGGCACACTTAGAGCATTCTGGTTGGTTTCCACATTTATACGTCATGCCATATAACGGTGCCGTTTTCCCATGCAAAGAACCTTTAATCTTGTTCCTGCCCTTCGTATTCGCACTACCGTTAGTGGGTAGAGGCAGTCGCGGGGTATGGCACAACATTTTGTGGCGACAGAGGAGTCGAACAATCATGGTCATCTATCAGAGCAGATGTAGTCCCTCTGTCAGCAGTAATGAATACGGCTTGAAAAGTTGCAGCGACGGTTAATTGAGCTACTGTCGCAAAAACTGAACACAAGAGTAGAATTGGAACAGGAAACGAAGATGATACCGCAGGAAATTACATCTGAATGACAATGGTTGCTCAGTTTGAAATGCACTATAAAAATAATTAAAAATTCGGATTCCAAAGAAGAGTCACATGTCCGTCGCACAGACGTTCACTGCTAAATTGTGGATCGAGAAACGCCGAACCGAAAGTCCCCGACTACTACTTGGAAATGAAATCAAAATAAGCCGATCGAGTCAAGTTACATTTGAGCTGTTATTGCTCGCTGTCAGTACTGCATTACCTCAACTTTCCACGAACCACAGCAACTTCGACGTTAATATTTTGGCCTATAAAATGGCGTAGTAGAGGTGGCTAAGAAATGTGGTGAGATTCGCTTACCTTTTTGGCTTCCGGCGTGACTAAGCATAGTTATTTGACGTACAAACATACAGAAGGACCGTGATTGCCTTGCGGTGTATCGCGAGCATAAAGTGTAATCTTTAAAGAATAAAGCTTAGGGGATCCACTACTTGGAGTCGACGTTGATTCGGCGACGGCCCATGCCCCCTTGCAGAGGTGCACAATATGAGGATGGGATTGCAGGGAGTTCCATATAAAAGTCACTTCGAGCATAGCACTATCACTTAGACGCTAAATCCTGCCTCCTTAACAACGACTCGCTGTCTAACGGAGCTAATAATCAAGTTGATGAAATCGGACGAGCAGGCACTTTGTCAACAGTGGCTTCGAACGCAGTCAGATTTAACAACACATTCGTGGATAAACGTCCAGCGCACATCAAGCAATGGACTTTGGTCGATGTGTTATATAGAAATTCTGGTAAACACGCTGAGTTTATAGGCGATTTGATTAGCTATACATGCCCAGAGTGAAGAAGCGTGTTAGCGCCCAAAATGAACCAAGAAGTTACGTTGGTTCGAGTAATTGCGCGAGGTAGACCGGCTGCCTGAATTCCCCATAATCCCACAGATGATCCAGACAGTTGCTGGACAACCAAAGCACATTGCACAACCTCCAATGTCACCCACCCATGATGTTATTGGGTGGGCATTATCATGAGCGAAATCAGGATCGTCCGAAAAGTGGGGCTCAGGCCTACTCTGCTTAGTTGTAATGATTATGTTCGACTTCGAGCGGTCGTTCGAACTCACTGGATTGGGGACCTGTGTGTCGTGCATTGGACATTATTCATCATGATTCTAAACATTAATTGGAAGAAATCCTTCAGCAACTGGGCCGCAATATAGCCTAGTAACGTTTTGAAAAATTAAAGTACAGCATAATAAACAGTACAAAACGCAAAACAAGAATACCTACACATTTACTAACGTTTTTAGTACTTTGCAACTACAGTCAGATCGTGGTTGGAAGCTGAGGCCAACAAAGATGGCGAAAGACAAAGGAACTAAAAACATTAAACTACTGAGGTCAGTTCTTCGCCATGTTAACAAGTGTCTCTAATCAAAACTGCTCATTGTCTTTCGGGCCCCAATGCCGCAGTCCAGAGAGACACCCACCGAAGCTAATTTTAACGTACGAGTCCTCATTCCTCTTGATCAAGTCATAGATCGGCCCCCCTAAACTTCATCTAGCCACAAATCGGGCGCACAAACAACGTACGTCACGCGTATCGGTATGATGGTATGCTCAACATGTGGCCAAGCCATCGAGCCTGATGCCTGAAATAATGGTGCGGAGCGGTTCAATTCCTCTTCCTGTATCAAATACAAGCAAACCACCACCCTCACTGCTGACCCGGTATTCCAACCAGATATGAGCTAAGCTGCTAATGCCCCCATAATTGGACACAACAAGTCTCTTTATGTCTGTCGATTTGATTGGATAGGTCTCGCAACCGTACAATAGGTTTGAACAGACGGCTGCGTAAAAGAATCTACCCTTCAGGGTGAGTGTGATTTCGCGCCGAGGCTGAAAGTGGTGAAGATCAGTAAAAGCTCCTCGCGCTTTGCTATGCGATTAGCGATCCGATCTCTGATCCCACAGGCACTAATATATCTTCACAGATAGTTGAACTTCCGAACGACTATCAGCTGGTCTTCAATTAGGGTCAGCGCAGGGGTAAGCGTTGCCAATGTTGGAGGAAATCCTTACATCCGGAAAGTGCAAAGCATAACTCGAAAACGTTGACAGCTAGTGCGGATGTGCTTAGTGCTGCTTAGCAGGTTTGAGATCTGTCACAGATGAAGACATTATGGTACGCATACTACGAGTCAAGATTCGGATCATCTGGGAACAGCTCCACACTATGTACGTCTTGCACATTGAATGAAGTTGGGATGGCTTCATCGATTGCGAGGTTGAAAAGGAAAGATGACAGTAGGCATTCATGTCTCAGACCACTAAAGATATTAAATAGCCTACGTAATCTGACAGAAATCATAAATCTGCTCGAAATACGCAAATAAATCTTTCTAATTAGGGTTGCAAATACCTCAGGCACATCGCTCCAGAGGACAGTCTCAAATGGCACACTGATTCACTGGATCGAAGGCATCTTTGAGGTCATGAAACACTTTTACAATCATCAGCAAAATAGGTGGCAGTAATCAAAAAACTGTAATTAGATGAAGTGGTGATCAAAGAAACAACGAGTTCGACAAACATTTGGTGTGTTCCTCACGAATCGGGCTTTCACTGACGCCAATCAATTTGTACAGAATGATAGAGGCGACTAACTTGGAGATTAGAAAGTTCAAAGTAGATCCTCTATGACTGTTACATTCCGAAGTTATTCACACCTTAAAATCGGGACCATAACGGAGTATGCCTGTATGTATTGAAACATGGCGGACCCGCGTTGGTGACTATGCTGCACCGCTTGGTGCAATGAATACGGATTGAGGAGGAGGTGCCTCCTGAGCTGAAGGATGTCCTTGTGCTACCACTGTACAAAGGCAAAAGGCGCAAGCATTGTTGTAGGAATTATCGTAGCATCAACTTTTTGAGTTGTGTGGGCAAGGTGATTGCCCGAATCCTGCTCAGCCGCCTCGTCAGTCAAGTTGTGGAACCTGACGTGGCGAAAGAGCAGTGCGGATTCCGTTCGGGTGGCAGCACTATAGATATGATGTTTGCGGCTCGTCAGTTGCAGGGGAAGTGTAGAGAACAACACCAGCCTTTACTCGCTTTTTGCTGATTTCACCAAGGCATTTGATACGGTGAACCGCGAGGCATTGTGGCTGGTGTTGGGTAAGTTTGGTTGTGCGAGTGAATTTCTAAGTTTAATTGAATGTCTGCACAGTGATATGCGGGCGAGGGTGCAGCTGAGTGCACAGACCTCGGATGACTTGCAGTTGTCACTGGCGTGAAGTAAGACTGTGTCTTACCTCCTGCCCTGTTTAATATTTGTCTTCATGCCATGATAGCTTATGCTTTTGATGCGGCTTGTGCTTCGGTGTTCGTGTGGAGCACCGTATTGATGGTGGGTTGCTGAACATCCGTCGTTTCGGTGCGAGAACTCTATTCTGTGAGACAACTATCCGTATGTTGCTGTTTGCTGACGACTGTGCGTTGTTTGCACACAGCGAGGATGAATTGCAGCAAATGACTAGTGCTCGGGCTTCGACAGCGGCCAAATTCGGGCTCACCATCAACACAAGCAAAACTGTCTGTCTCTTTCAGCCTTCACCGGGGGTGTAATCTAACATGTGTAATCTACAGTGGTGCCACGAATCATCATTGGTGTTGAAGTATTAGGAACTACCACCCGCTTCTGCTACCTAGGGAGTGTGATATCGACAGACCAGCAGATACACAGTGAGCTGCGTATCCGCTTCTCGAAGGCATCGGCAGCATTCGGGAAGCTAGAGTACCGAGTGTGGAACAACCATCAGCTTACCATTGGCACAAAGCTAATGGTGTGCAAATCCACGGTGCTGTTTGTCCGTCTATACGGCAGCGAAGCGTGGACGATGTACCGGCGGGATGTGCGATATCTCGAGCGATGCCATCAACAATGTTTTCGACGGATTCTGCGCATCGGTTGGTGCGACAGAGTTGCTGACACGGAAGTGCTGCTCCGAGGTGGAATGTATGCAGTGGGCTGCATGCTTTGCTGAAACATCTGTGGTGGCTCGGTCATGTGAGCCGTATGGACTCGACGCGGATACCGAAACAACTACTATGTTGTCAGCTGAGTATTAGGAAGCAGCATG